TTTGCCTACTAATCCAGTAAATTAGTTACTATTTCTAATGGCTATCAAAGTTTCAGAGTCCAAAGATTGGTCTCTAATGGTGACTGTTTTGGAGAAATTTAAAATAAACTACAGTCTGTTTTTTTGAAATAGCCTAGACATCCACATGGCAAGTATTCTTTTTTCCATCATGGTAAAAAACGTCTGGCTCAGTGGTTCAAAGCAGGCACTGCTTTTCCAGAGGAGCCACATTTGGTTCCCAGCAGCCTTATCAGATGGCCCACCACTGCTGTAACTCCAGCTCTAGAGGACCAGATGGCCTCTACTGTCCTCTTTGGGCACTACACTCACACGCACGATGTGGCTCCTGGTCTCAGTTCGCGTCACTTTGGTGTTTCTGGGTCTGTGGGGAAGCAGTACAGCATGGTGAATGGGTTTGGTGGGGGCAGAGCTGCTTGCCTCCTGGCCATCACAAGTAAGGAGAGACAGAGTCCTGGGACAAGACGCACCTTCAAAGCCTTTACCAGTGCTCCACCTCCTCTCACCTCTTTTTCCCCTGGTTTTTAAGACAGAGTTTCTCTGTGTAGCCTTGGCTGTCCTGGAACTCTGTAGGCCAGGTTGGCCTCCCTGCCTCTGCCTCCGGAGTGCTGGGATTAAAGGCGTTCGACACCACCCACTTCCACCTCTTAATAGTCCACTCAGCTATGGAGCAGCTCTCATGATCCAGTCACCCCTCCAAAGCCCATCAACTGGCAACTGAGCCTTTCCTGTAGGGCTTTGAGGCATAGTTTTTAGATTCAAACCAGAACAACATGGTTCAAAATTTTAATCATAAAAAGAATATACAGCAGCTGGGCATGGTGGCATGGTGGCATGGTGGCACATGTTTTTAATCCCAGTACTCGGGAGGTAGAAGCAGGTGGATCTCTGTGAGTTCGAGGGCAGCCTGGTCTACAGAGTGAGTTCTATGACATCCAGGGCTAAACCCTGGCCAACAAACCAACCAACCAAACAACCCCCCAAAGGGCAACATACAATGGAAAGTTTCATTCTACATCTCTTGATCTCTTGAAAGCATTTTAAAAACATCAGCAACTGCCTTTTGGATCTCTTACATCAGTTGTGATAATTATATATCAGTTGTGATCATCTATATTATACAGTATAGTTAATAATATAATCCTCTACAGCTGGAGTTATTCGTAGTTGTGAGCCACCTTATAATCGTATGAGTTGTCTACAAAGAGTTCTTAAAACAAATGACATTCTTTGTCAAGAAGCTCACAAAGGAAGGCATCAATTCCATTTACTTCTGCACACATTTATTGAGCCATACTGTGTGCTCGGAACAATGCTGGCTGTTCAGCGGGAGAAACATGAGTCATAGGATTGAGAGTGTACTTTTCTTAATTAGAAAGGAGAAGAGACTAGAATGAAGGGCTGTTGGTAGGGAAATGTGATACTTCAGCTTGACCTAGTTGGAAGGGTTGATGAGAACAGGTTACTCCTCTGTTCTGCAGAGGACTGCACTTAAGGTTTCTGGTCCTGCCTCCCTAGCAGAGTATACCAGTCAACAGAGCTCTTATTCACAGCCAATCTGATGGTATAGGGTCCAGGAATCTTGCTGGTAGCTTGGTGTCCATTTCACAGTTTTTAGGGAGAAGGGAAAGGTATATCAAGCTTCCTCAACAGCAGAATATCGAAGTAGCCCGTTTTCAATTGGACACTCAAAGACAAACCCGAAAGGGCTGAATCCCCTTCGGAGCAGCTGAGAAACCATGGAGTGTTCACAAGAGATGAACTGCTGGAACTGAGTAAGCCTACAGAGGCAGCCGCGAGCATCTTGAACATACTCCTGTGTTGTCTATGCCTTCAGGTTCCCACAGGGGCTTAGAGAGGCGAGGTACTTACTGTGTACAGGATGGGGGGGGGGCACGGCAGGCCAGGGGTATTTGCTGGACACAGCACATTTACATCTGGACACTCCATTTCCTTGTATAAACGGTGAAACTGAACACTGCCTGAGATCACTTGGTTGGAAATGGTCCATCTGTCAGTGCTGCCTTCCCCGCTTCTCTTCTTTTCTACAGGGTCTTACCATCCTTGGCTGGCCTTGAACTCACTATGTAGCTGAAGATGATCTAGAGCCTGAGATCCTCCTGCCCCCACCTCCTGAGTGCTGGGATTATAGGCATGTACCATACACTCAGTTTATGCAGGGCTACAGATAGAGCCCAGGGATTTGTGTGCTAGCCAATCAATCACTCTGCCAACGGAGCTACATCCTCAGTCTCAATACAGTCTTGTCTATTGGTCCTCAGACTAGGCTTGGGACCATAGCCTTGCACAAGGAAGCAGGCAATGATATCCTATTTGCTGTTAGTGGCAACCATACTTGGAGAGGGCAGGTTTTGATGACTTTATTTGATCATCCACTTGGATTTTCAGAACAAAATTTATAAGCATTTTTCTTCCTAGTATGAAGTAAACAAGTTTCTAGAGAGTAAAGGCTGGTCAATTCTTGAGAGATGTAGGCGGTCACTGATGGTGTATTTAATATGCTGTCCTTGAAATAATAGAGTCCATCTAGTGCTGGTGCTATGGCTCAGCAGGTTCAAGCATCTACCTCCAAGCTGGATAACCTGAGTTTGACCTCCCACCGGGACCCACATGATAGACAGGAAAAAAACGGACTCCTGCAAGTTGTCTTCTGACCTCTGCATGTACACACCCACACACAGGCACAAAGTAAAGTAAGAGAAGATGGGGAAAGAAGGGAAATGGGAATCCTCATGGGGACAAGAAAATAAAAGGTTCTCATGCCCTTAATTCATAACCTGATAACCCCCAAGAGTCTCTTTTCCCTTATAGATAATGTATGGCATGTGCTTGTCCTTTATCACAAGATAACAAGAAACCCTTCAGGGTGACTCACCAGCCTCTGATCTTGGTGACTAACAAAACCCACTAGACCTCAAACTGCTCAAACAACCCAGGAAAATGCCTGTTTTTTTTCCTCCTATGTCTGCACCTAACCTGGGTCTCTCACAATAAGTGATAATTTTATTAAATTAAATTATTAAAATAAGTCCCCCTTTTCCTTCCAATTGAAAACTGTCTGATGTTGGTTGTTTTTACTCTTTGCTCTTTTGGGGGGCCTGCCACCCAGCTCTCAAATAAATCACATGGAATCTTATTATTACTTATAAATGCCTGGCCTTAGCTTGGCTTATTTCTAGTCAGCTATTCTTAACTTAAATTATCCCAACTACCTTTTGCCTCTGGGCTTTTCCCTTTTCTTACTCCTGTATACCTTACTTTCATTCTTACTCTGTGGCTGGCTGTGTGGCTGGGTGTCTTCCTCTCCTTGTTTTCTTCTTGCTCCTTGATCTTTCCCTCCCAGATTACTCCTTCTACTTATTCTCTCTGCCTGGCAGCTCCACCTGTCCTTTCTCCTGCCTGCTATTCGCCGTTCAACTTTTTTTTTTTTTTTTTTTTTTTTTTT